CACCAAACTGTGGTAGTATACTAGGCTTCAGGATCACCAAACTGTGGTAGCATACCAGGCTTCAGGATCACCAACCTGTGTAGCATATCAGGCTTCAGGATCACCAAACTGTGGTAGTATACTAGGCTTCAGGATCACCAAACTGTGGTAGCATACCAGGCTTCAGGATCACCAACCTGTGTAGCATATCAGGCTTCAGGATCACCAAACTGTGGTAGTATACTAGGCTTCAGGATCACCAAACTGTGGTAGCATACCAGGCTTCAGGATCACCAGACTGTGTAGTATACCAGGCTTCAGGATCACCAAACTGTGGTAGTATACGAGGCTTCAGGATCACCAAACTGTGGTAGTATACGAGAATGCCCTACACACTCTGATATACAATTGGTGTAGGGTTAAAGATTATGACTTGGATAAAGACGTTAAATGATCCTGGAGCTACATTTCAATCCTATTTTGTTCAAGATGCTCAAGGATATTGGAGCCTGATTTTCACTGTGGTTAAGTGAAGATGTTTAAATATCCTGGAGTTTATGTAAATTCTGATTATTTGTAGGATGTTCCAGGAACGTGAAGCAATATTTTAGAATAGGTGTTGAGAAAATATTCATCAAATATTCTCTTCTTCCAGTACCGCTACTGTTCTTTCTGTACTTACCAAAACAAAGTAAATAAGGAATTGCTAGATAAGAAATTAAAACGAGTGATTGGGGTTGACATGTATATTTTATTGAAGTAAAATTAATAAAATCATATCAACAAATACATATCAGTCATCACTCGTCCACCACAACATTCACACTCTCCCAAACGTTAATCGTCACTACATATTCCAGTAGACTTAGAATAACAATATAATATTACACATAACAAACCATCTACTCAGTGAAAGAGCCCATGAGATGATACATATTATTGTAGGACGCAATAAGAATAGGTTATTAATTCTAATAGTGTATAGTGCATAACTTGTGTCTAGCTAGAAGTACATATCAATAATGAAATTATTTACTTGTATAAAAACAACATTGCATATTACTTTCTTGCATCAGAATAAATTAAAAACATGCCTGTCAATTATTGTCTTGCGTAACGGTTTGTAAAACAAAAACAGGTATTTGTTGCGATATATCTCGTTAGGTGGTTGTAGCAGCTGACTTACCAGAACTTACCAAGCTCGTAAGTTGTTAAGTCACTAATTAAGTACGGTTTACCATAATCATTGGCCATCAGTGAACTACGATACGTCAGACAGTTCAAAAACAATACACTACAACTGGTTATACGGTTAGACACAAACGAATTAAGAGTAACCAGAGAGTAAGCCATGAATGAACTGCGACTCGCCAGAGCGTTAAACACTAATACACTACAACTCACTAGTCGTTTGACACTAATGATCTACTACTCACACTTTGATACATTACTCATCAGAGTTATTAGTGAAAAACTCTACACCTCAAACGGCTACTCACAAAGGAACAACGATTGGCCACTCATTAGTGCGGTTTGACTCTCCTAACGTTTAGTCCCTATTGAACTACAAGTTATCCCATGACACGTCAGTAGTAACCTCTATTTGACAAAATGATGCCAGTAGTTAGCCATTACTCATAAGCGACAATAAGTCATTACGGTTAGTCTTTGCTCACTATCACTCATCATACACTAAGTTATAAGTGAATAACAGCTCATATGATGATTAGTTACTATTACAACACAAATTACCTGACGTAATTTGAGTCAATAGGGCACATGACTCACTAGACTTTACGTTACCAATAAGCCACGACTCGCCAAACAGTTAGTCAATAGTTAACAACGATTATCAAGCGATCAATAATTCATTATGCCCTTAACTTCAATTTATAAGACGTGTTGTCACTAATCATGTTCTATGTAATGGGTACACTACGACTCCTTGGAAGGTTAGTCAGTTCTGAGGCACGAGTTGCCAGACAGTCAGTTGTAGGTCACAACTGGCAAAACGGTAAGTCACGGTTGAAAAACAATTACTAGTGAGTCCAACTAAGCGTTAATATTATTTTTTATTCACAAAGGATTATTATTTTGAGCCTGATATAATATCTAATAATAACAAAGGTATGAGCTGACTTATACCACACTATCCTGCAAACATGCACCATTGCGTTACATATATGAACGTTAATTATATTATATTAAAGTGATCGTTCTATAATGATTAAGATATATGTTTATCCTATGAGTCATGTGTACTTAATTATATATGTTTCTTATATCAATTAATACCAGCTACTGATACAAATCACTGCAAACTTGGCCTTGATTTGACAAAAGCGCCTGACCTCGTCTGACATTCTGTTGACCACAATAGTTTGGGTAAATGCATCCTGTTAAATTATCAACTTATGAACCAGCTGTTGACTTTCGTCCATGAAGGAGGTCAGGTGGCCGAAATATTGTGACTTAGAGTTCATTTGTTCTATGTATATATATTGTCCCTTTAGAAATCATCTGTTGTCTATAATGAGCCAGAATTATGTATTTGGGTGACTTTGATCTACGCTGACGTCATATTATGGTAATTAAAGTGACCTAGTGACCTTATTTTTAAAATATAGAATGTCATCTTTTAGAATGACAAAAAGACTGGTTCACTCTATATATTATACACCGCATTACCGCTGCTACTTAAGGGTGCATAATATCTGCATTCAAATTTAAGTTAATCAATATCATCCACAGGACACGGACAGCAAACAAAATTCTTAATTGAGTAACAAATTATCAAGCTGGTGTGTTTTCTTTCACGAATATAAATTTAAAAGAAAGTTAAACTCACAATGCCACTTTCAGTACGACTATTTAACAATATATTGACAGAACGACATTTATTTATTCAATTGTGAGAGAGTGCTACAACACGTTATCATGACGTGTCTAATTGTGACGTTATTAAACCAGTTATTTACATTGTACTTGGTATTACATGTGAATGATGTAACGTAGGATATCACAATTATTAAGCCTAGGGTTAAGTGCTTTTATATGTACATATTATGTAACAAACACGAGTTTTTTTTATAATAATTTCCTTGTTATAACAAATACTATTAGGACGTATTTAGTAAGTATAACACAGTTACCACATTGCACAAATATGTTTAAAATATGTTAATCATAAACACGTTTACGTACACACACATTAACACATTCTCTCATTTATAATAGGAATTATATGAGATAAGGTATGGAAACCTTAATTATGCATATTATGATACATAGACGTGATAATACGTTACATTAGGCTCGCTTTTACTGCACAAAGGCAAACATATTTTACAAAATCACATCCTTTATAAAGGAAATATCGAACACTTTTCTTACAGGCAAACATTTACGTCCATAGATAATAATTTAGTATACATCTTACGGTAAGCTGCGTCTAGTTATCATGTACAGTATTACTTATGAAATCGTCACAGTACTCGTTCAGAACTTGAATGGTCTGATTATATTACATTTCTCTTGACAAAATCATTACCGTCTTTCAAACTCTAAGTAAAGTGTCTTCGTACATGACAACAAGTTGTGGTCATCAATGTACATGTAGAATGAATATCATAGATTAAATTATGTCATTTTGCAAAACGCGTTACAATATATGTTATATTACATTTTTAACAATACACGTTTATTTATCATTCAGACATTTCAATATGGATCCTTATAGAATAATTTCCCGAAATACCTCAGTATTTCCGCAGTAATTTGAGAGAAAACACTCATTGCATACTAAGATAAATAGAATAGTAATTCGACTTCTTCATACTCTTATACATCCATTAGGAATAGCATTAACATCGTGTTAAACCAAATCTATCATTATCAAATCTGTATGCATGTAATGCATGTGCTTATTGGCATGTAAACAGCATTGTGACAGAATAATGATTATATATTGGTTATCTACATATGCCTTATTTTCAGTTCAACTTATTCTTTTGTTCAATTTATAAGCGTGCCTAGAACCATTTTTCAAGCAATTTTTTAACAGATAGCTTGAAATATGCAATTGTTCTTTTTTATAAGTTTAACGTCCTACTTAATTTCTAAGTCACCGGATATAAATATATTCAAATGGTTGATATCTATTACATTTGTTTTTCTTTTTATAACGGTAACATAAACATTTGTTTACCGTTTGAGGACAGATAAGATTTGTTTCCATAAAATGAGGTGGTGCGATATCACATTACAGTAGTCTTCAGATAATTAATATTTACAGAATTATAATAAACTCTGAATCCATCAAAAAGTACGAAAAGGGTTTCAGCAGATATAAAAAATAACATAATAGGAAACAGACTATATTTGTACCATTAATATGTTGATAAAAACATAATCAGAAACAGACCATACGTAAATCATTTCGTTTCTACAACACACACACATATATTTATATTCTAGAGCAGAAAAGATATAAAAAAAACAATCTAAAATATTAAAATGTATTTTTTTTGTGGTATACTAAAGAATATCCTGAAATATTAGATGATATCATATTTCCTACATCCCCATTAGTTGTATCATAACCACTTGGAAGTCATGAGCGGATTGGTCGGGTGGTTAACACTCCGGCTTTCCAAGCAGGCGGCCGGGGTTCGATCCCCGAAGTCCCACACAACTCCAACAACCCATGTGGAGTATAAAATGGTCTGGGTGGGTGTTGCGGTATCTGTGCTGTAACATTCAAGTGAGGTGACACTATAAATGATAACGTTAGAAGCACGGTCCCACTACAAACTGAACACAATACATATCGAGCCCACACACAGGCATACACACATAGGGAGATATTAGCCAGGTGGCGTAGGACTAGTAGTAAGCGCCTGATAAGGCAGCTCCTACGAATTCCTCAATATTGTATTGATTAATATATATGCTGATTGTATTGACTGTATAAAATTGTATATCTATGTACTGTAAAGCGCTTTATAGTGGCTTATGTTAGCTAGATCGGGCGCTATATCAAATGTTGTATATTTATTTATTTTATTGATTAATTTATGATATTGCCTCAGAGTTACGATATTAAAAAACTTATTTACATAACATTTACATTATTACCTCACTTCAACTGTAACGTCACAATGGTCTCTGCCAAATGCTTACGATCCACTTTTTTAAAGTTAAAGAATAATAATTGAATATCTTAAATAACAATTAAAAATATAACTTGAGTGAATATGTGTTATATAGACCTGAAAATTATGTTGCTAATAGCGCTTTCACAGCATGTAAGACAACATATTACCCTCAATAAATTCCTCAATTGATAAATATTCTCTTTAAATATCCCGTAAAAGAGTACAGCATAACATTGTTCATTAGCTATATTGCCTTAGTAATATTTTAAATATTAATAACCAAGGACTACAGTAACAGTAACAATCTACAATATATATTTATTCCCTAAGCATAACACTTTTTTTTCAGCAGAGTCTGTGTTAGTAACAACTTCTTTTTAATGTATAATTCGTTTAACGCTGATCAAACCATCGACATATAATAACCACAGACATTGAAATTCACAGTACAACTGTAGAATGTGAAGGCCAACAATGCCATGGACAAAGTATTAACATCCAAATGTCACTGTACAACAGGAAATCGGAAGGCAAACAACGCCATGGACAAAGTGTAGACATGTTAGGAAGGAAACTTCGGAGGTTTACATGTAATAACAAAGTATCCGCAGAGAAAAATGTCTTTGCATATACGTGATTCCACACATAGTATGATTTAACGCTATGGAGAGATCAATGATAAAAGTCCAAGTTTTTTTGGAAGCAAACGCTAATTCGACGCCCGCACTAACTGGTGGATAAATAATGGGCCCAGTACACAAGATTGAACATGGCGAAGAAAAATGGAAATAAAAACCGAGATGCTACATCCAGGTACATGGAGAACAGAATGCCTGACACCCTTTTACGCTGGACCGTGGGGTCCCGTTCTGGGTCAAGTCTCATTTCGCCGTCTTCGCCAACCAGGATCTGAAACGGAGTGGTAATGGTGTAAGGCAGGGGCTCGTAAAACATCACGAACTCATTATACAAAATCTCACATAAAAAGAGGCTCTCTAAGTAAGATTATTTATAAAAGCTCTTTTTTGTGAAATTCCTAACTGAATTATGGATGTTGCACATTAGTTTTGGGCGACACAGTTCAGATCCAATTATTTGACCTGGAAGTTATGGCAAAGTAATTTTAGAAATTGCAACTTATTACGTCAATAAATCAACCCATATTTGAATCAGTGTATGATTGTGAAAATACATTGTAAAGCAATCGATTCTGTTATCCTTCAAAGCAATAATACCAAGAGTATCATGAACAACGTTTTTTGTCTGATTTCTACAATAACAGAAATCTTAAGAAACAAAATGTTGACTTGTCCAATAAAAGAGCTTTAGATTACTATCATAAAGCTAACAGAACTGTTTCATATATATATATGGATCCCACAATTAACACAGTTATATTCATAATGGTGTAGGATCTAACCGATTCAACATGGCATATAAATTTCCAGCGTAAGTGAAGAAATATTTCGCTATTCAAACACTGGTAAGAAATCTTTTAGAAATGCTAACGTGTGGTTGTTTTGAATTATAGTAAGATGTAGGCGCATTGGTCACCAGATCTATCTAAAGATGTTATGTCATGCCTTAAGCATTATCTATTGATGTAATTAATGGCTTTACCTGTTCTATATTGAGAAGTGGTTTGCGTACTGTATGTATTACATATAACTCGGAATTGAAACAATATAGAGTAGCTTAAAATTTCTCTGTGAGCAATCACAATTTTAAAACAATGGCGTCCGTAACTCTTTTCCATTGGCTGTCCTATTGTTCTTGGTATACATGATCACCTGACATGTGGTTTTATGGACCTTTGTCCTGAGTTCTTTGTCTTACATACTTATAATCTCGTTAAACAAATAATAATGGACATTATTTCAATGTACACCTATTACATGTGTTTGAGCTTAACATACAACGTGAGATCATTCCCCTCTCAGACAGTATGTCTAACAGTAATTGGATGTGAGGTATGTATCAAATGAGGTATTAAAATGATCGAGATTTCTAATTTTAGATTTATTTTCTGATTGTGATTCCTTAATGTTGTACTTTCGTTATCAACTTACCTCGGTTTTCGGCTTTTTCTTTTTAGCACCCGGTTTAAGTATATGAAGGATATTTTTCAGTTTTAATACTTTATTGTTGTCTTTGTTACTGAGGACATTGGCCACGGCAAATTCTATAAGTGCAGCGAATACGAACAAAAGACACACGGACATCCAGATGTCTATTGCCTTGGTGTAGGACACTCGAGGCAGGGAGGCGTTCACGCTCGAGCTTTGTGTTGTCATGGTAAGAACGGTGAGCACGCCCAGAGCTATCCGGCCTGGTACGGCGTTGACGTTCAACCAGAAGGATATCCATGACAACATGACAACAAGGATGCTTGGGATGTACATTTGTACCACGTAGTACCCAATGTTCCTGGCCAAGTAAAATTCTGTCCTCAGACCACTATGACGTGCTAAACAATTAAAACATGGGTATATGGTCAGTGTTATGCATTAAAAATTGTTTCCTTAAGCAAAGATGATAAAAAACATCGGTTTTATTTACAGCGATAAAAACAAACATCCGTAGCAGGTTTGAAAAAAATACAGTTTTTAATTTCTAAATGGTATGAAAATAATTGCCCTCAAAATAAATTACATTAAACAATATTGGTAAAAATTTTAGGAAAGGTGTGTTGAATCGATATCAGAGTTTTCATGCAATAAGATATAAGCTTTGTTATTTAGATTTATTTAAAGTTATAAAGTACCGTATTATCTCCTTATTGTGGATTTCCGGTACGTCGTCTAAATTTCTAATATCACTCAACTATTTGTTTACCCCCAAAGGGTCATCTATCTGCATTTCGTCCAGTCATCATATAAATCACCTTCCTCTTTTACTTATGCATACGTACCATACGATCCTTTGCGTTCGCGCTTGAAGCTCCTTGACGAGATATCATACACCTCAAATTGGGGCAGAGTTATCTCTCGGTTGATCCGCACAGCGTCGTTTGTGCCTTCTGTAGTATTCTCTCCTATCCATTTCATTATTATATTGTTTTCATCGTAACTAACTGCAATCCAATTTAAAATAAAGATTTGAAAATAGGCATCACATTTATATACGTTAACTCATGTAGTAATTTAATTACAAAAACATTGGGATCGGGCACAGGAAAATCAACTTATAAACAATTTCCATATATATATATACATACAAATAACATATATATAGATAAATAATTATATGCATGTAAATAACAGTTATGTTGATTTGTATATGAACATATATATACAGTTATGTTGATTTGTATATGAACATATATGTATATACAGTTATGTTGATTTGTATATGAACATATATATACAGTTATGTTGATTTGTATATGAACATATAGATATATACAGTTATGTTGATTTGTAAATTTGAATACATGTACAATGTATGCAAGCAATTTACTGTTATGTTGATTCAGAAAAAGAATTTGAGAAAAATTAAATGTAAATTTTTTGACTTTTCTCTCCCACAAAATCTATTTATGAAGTTTACTTTGACGCGAGTTTCCAACATTTATAACATATGTTAATTATCAAATAGTAAAATCGGTGTCAGTGTTTAATGCATCTTATTTTACACTGAAAAACCAGATGATGGTAACTGATTCCAATGCATGCTTTTATCACTGAGACGCTTGGTCAAGTTGACGATACTTACAACTTTCCATTATTATAGGACATCGTTGTTCGTCAAATGGATAATGGTGTAAGTCCATTGGACAGCTGAGTGTCAGAGAAAGTCTGCCGGAGAAGACGTAACACAATTAGGATCATTAAATGATTATATATCTCTCTTTATTGATATTAGACAAACACTTTCACAAGGCAATGTTATCAGACAAAAAAGTGTCAATAAAATATTTCCTTCCTCCTCGCTCTTTTTATCAAAAGACCTTTGGCTCCGAGCCAGGTCATACAGATATTAACTTCCATTTATCCATGACAAAAATTGACATGAGTGATATAACTAGGTAAAGCAATGCCATATCACAACGTGACAGTTCACAAAAGTAATTTGTGATTAAGTTAAAAAGATACACGACACTACAATTGACATAATCGATACAACTGAAAAAAATTACGGTAAACCACACAAAAATTGCCATTAGTGATTTCTGACTAAGTAAATCAATAAAGACGCATCAATTGACATTATTGATATAACTACAAAAACAATTACGGATCACGGTACGACAATTGACATTACCGAATTAACCAAGTTAATCAATGGATCGCGGCACTAATATTAACTGGGGTTAGTTATTTAACCAGGTAAATCAATGGATCGCGGCACTAATATTAACTTGGGTTAGTTATTTAACCAGGTAAATCAATGGATCACGGTACGATAACTAACATTAGTCAATTAGAGCCAGGGCACAATAACTGACATAAGTGATTTAACCAAGTATTCAGGGCACGACAATTGACATTAATGATATATATTTGAGCAAAACAGTAACGGATCACGACACGACAAAGACATTATTGATATAACTAGGTTTGACCAGAATCATTTTCCCATCATCTACGATATAATTCGAACTCGGGACTACAGAGTACTAATCCGGTGCTTTATGGAATGATCTATTACATAGAGAATACAAAACAATCCGAGTTCTCTATGTGAAATATGAGAAAAACGCTAAAGCTACACGGTCCTTCTTTGTTCTTACTAATAAAAATCAAACTTCAACGCGATATTCCGGCGGCATTCATCAACCGATTTCAGTTGGTCTTATCTTAAAGCTGGTTGAATAACGATTTTATAAATTAATATATTTCACTACTGTAAAAACAAACGTTCTCATAAGCGTACTTACCTTGCTGTGTATGATACTTTTCCGTCTCCAAATATCCTGAGCATTTTGTTAGGCATGAAAACATCATGGAAGAAAGCTTTCTTTTCGTTTGGGAAATATATATCAGGAACCCATAAATTGGCTAAGCGTTTCGAGTCCGCTTCGATGTACGAATTATTGTCCTTTAGACGTACCCACGTAAGGAAACGACTGTCCTGCCACATCAGATGTATAAAGATGCTAACGGTGAAGTCCTGTGTGACACGAAAACATTGTAAGGAGAAATAGCATAGGACGATAGGTACATACGGTATATTAAACATGTGTTTGACTTCCTGCAGCGACCAATTAAATTTTAGATAAGTGCGCCCTTACAAAACCGTAATTCAAACTCCAAATCGATACTATTATGGCAAATCACGAACAAAGAAGAGTTAAAAGAATGATAAGACCAGGTGTTCCGGAAGGATGACTGTCGTTTGCCTCATTAACGACCCCTGAATCTAGGTCAAATCCAAGTAATGTCACATCAAATCAAGGTCCAGGCTTGTGACAACAAGCAACAAGGATTATTAATAAGCAAATTCAAAAACATTGACTTTATATGACATAAGGAAAAGAATATTTTCCATTGTGACCATGATGGCAACCATCATTTCTTGTCTAGCCTAACTGATCTGTTCTGTATATGTACCTAAAGACATTCAAGAGACAGGTTGATAAAAAAGGAGTTTACTTCGGGACAAGGGTTCAGCTAGTCTCAGGCTTGTTAGCCAAACAATAACTCGACGAAAACTTTAATCTAGTGTAGTTTCAAAAGGATTTAAATTCAAAACTTAACTCGCACTAATAGATATTCAAGATGATTTTCTGAATTCGAAAACACAACAATATTTGTTGATATCAGATTTTTCACAAAAAAACATATTTAGGGAGTTTACATTAACGACTATTAAGGTCAATCACATTTTATTTAGGTCAAGAATATGATGATGTCAGAACACAAGGTAGGTTGAAGGCTTTCCCAAAGAAAAACTTGATCAGCCCGGTAGTTACCAGTCAAATCGCACATCCATCAAAACTGTGTCTTTAGAACGGCATAAGGTTTGGAAGTAAGGTGCTATGTTGGTTAAGTTTTATATATGAAGTAAATACAAAAGAATCTGTGGTATCTTTCGCATTTGTGAAAAAAGGAAATAATGGACTATTTTTGATAGTCCGTGTAATACAGGCACAATGACACAATGCATGGTAAGTCCAAACTACTTTTCTCTTGGGTATAATATTACATTTATATTTGTGTCTGATTTGGCGATTTATGACTGATATACTGAATCAAAACATATGACGTAGCCATTATAATAAACAAAACGTAAAAAATCGCCTTGTACTACGGAGCTACCGGGACCAACTCCATGTCTGGACAGATATTTTATCAAATTGAAATTTCTAACTGTAACATTATGACATCAAAGGTATAATCTAAATATACAAACCTGTATTAAATTATTATGCTGAAAACTTTTTCTTTACAGCAGATAATTAAAATTGAGTAAAATAATAAAATTAAATATTATTTATATAATTTGGAGATTTGTGTTTAATCCATCAGCTTACCATATTAGCTTCATTGATAGAATCAAAGCTGTCGACATACAGTTCACACTCCACTTCCGTCGGAAAATCTGGTTTATATAAGAAAATAGGTATAAGATTACTATACTTAAATATAGAAATTCCAAAGAAAGCACAATATAACATAGGTACCTTATACTACATTGTATTCTTAATTAATTCACATTTTTTTTTGAATGTGTCCAAAATCATATTATTCTATCCCCGTATTATTGTTAGAAATCGCAAAAGAAGGATTATTTTCTATCTTTTATTCCGTCTTTGCGTATTGCAGAATTATCTTCTCTTGGGAGCAGGTATTGATTGTTACGTCACTTGTTTGTGAGAGTAACATCATCATTTTTTGAGAAAACGACGCAATTTTCTCACACAACCCAATGACATAACAATCAATACCTGCTTCCAAGAGAAGATAACTCTGTAATACGCAAAGACGGAATAGTATTATCAAGATCGTAGGTTGAATTGTGCCAAAGTACCATGGTTCACACAAACAGTCTATGTGAATGGTAGTTTGAAGTTTGATTCCGGAAAAAATATTTATACTTCCCTTGCTGAAATAAAAACAAAACCAAAGCATCGATTTCAAAGATATCATATAAATGGAAAGTATCGCAACAACATAACAATTACGTCCTTGAGACAGAACTTTATCTATCAGCATCTTTATAAGGTTAAGTAATGCAGAAAATATCTCGGATTCATGCAATACAACGTTGACTCATTTGAATTACGCATGAGTTTTATTGATGCATAAAATAAGAACATTGGTAGAAAATAAACTTACGACAGAAATTGTTACAAACCTATGTTAAAGTAAGATTTGGAATGAATGTCTAAGATAAGCACATTTTTAAATGCCATAATCACAGCTAGAACATTTGTGGTAATGTACACTGTCAATCACAGATGTACGGAGGCGGAAAAAAAACTAAAACTGTTTTGAATTTGGTTAACATTTTCTTATGCCTCTTCCCCGAAATTTTGATAAAATATGATATCGCCTATGAAAATGCAACACAAAATATAATACTATTTCTAGATAAGGTACATTTAAGTTTATCAAGACAGTAAACATCAACAGTTTAGCCATTATCATGTGTGACGTCATCGCGCACTTAAATGTGACGATGTCATGATGGGGGCTATCACGCATGTTATAACAAAGCATGTATGACAGTATTATTATACTACAAAACAACCTTTTTACACGTATTTACAACGATTAAGAAATATAAGTCAGAGATGTGAATTTCACGTGTTGAGACGATGCTACAAATAACAACATAAGTTGTAAATTTATATCCAGGGGAAATTAAGTCCTAAAACGGGCCAGAAACGTTATTTTATATTGTTTCATGCGATACTTTGGATAGATTTTGATTTGAAGCCAACAATAGCAAGTTTAAAACATAAAGAAACGACCCCGTTGTGGATTTTTTTTATACCATGCACGATAGGATTTGCTGTCATTCTTACACGACAATTTAAATTTTAAAGATTATTTCACGAAGGAATTGTATGCAGTTCTACTACGAGTAAAATAGCCCTTTTTATGTTGTATTTTGTGTATAATGCCATTGACTACATGAGTTACCAGTATACATGATGATAGTGGCAAATTGTGGTTCGATGAAACCAGCACCTTATTACAAAACCTGGATGGGCATTCCGCAAATACTATGCATTCAGCAAAATCTTCGAATAAACATGCGTGCATACTTCTTAAAAGAAACCCCAATAACGAGTGGACGAATTAATTGCCGTGAAGATTATCTGCGTGGTCGCTGTATGTTCTTTACATACATATATGGTTGAACTGGCATCCCTTACAAATCTACTTAACATGATTGTTTAACAATATGTAGCATTCCATTCCCTTAGAAATTAACATTAGATCATGTCAGGCCGTTTTTCTGAGATAAACAAACAATTGTGCGATTTTCGGGAAATCAACATAGCATTAGGTTGATCTAGCGGTAATTATATATGCCACATAGTCAATAACCAATGGTCAATGTACGGTAGAACAGGTAGAGGTTTACCCGTGAACATTGTGTTTTTGTGCATGGTCGTCTATTACCCAGTAAATACGATATTCTTACACGTAGACACTTAGCATGTCCCTTAAGTGATGAGAAAACAAGAACATGTTATATGAAAAACAAAGTAGTCCGGTACAACAAGCCGAGACTGTATACCCTGGGGAATAACTGAGTTGTTTTTGGCGAGACACTACCATGATGTTTCAATCTAGAGAAGGGGACGATTTACATAAGCAGTTACCTGATTAAGAACCCTCTGGTTGTGAACATTGCAAAATGATATGTTATTTTGAAAACAAAATGAATTTTTATACACGGTAAGTAAAGGCTTTTGAGGACAAAAGGTAATGTGTAAGATTACATTGAATTTAAAAGAAAATCGTCAGCCATGAAACTTTATTCATTGATTAAGGGATTATCATATATTATTTTTACCATATATTTCTTTATTGTCTAATGGAATACCGTCCATACTGACGTCAGAGTTATGAACGCCAAACAACACGTCACAATATGGTAACGTCGGATTAAGGCCAAAAGACACCAAGTCAACATGGTGACGGGAGGCCTACACTCGTCCCTTAGTTGACATTTAAGCTCGACAAAACCTCGCTAAAATGAAAAAAATAATTGATGAATTCACGATATCTTTTTAACTTTTTTTCAATCTATTCTGTTTTATTATTTTCTTCGTTATTTGTTTCTAAATGGCGCTTGAAGGAATACCGTATAATATTAAATATTGTAAATGTGATTTTGTTCGCGTATGGAAATGTTTGCGTTATGACCCTTTAAACTGAACTCGGTGTGACCATTTTCACGTTGGTAATAGTTCTGTAAACTATATATTCCATGTATCTATAATCTATCTATAAATATCCACGTGTGGGTATTTTCATGCTAATTTACAAAATCGCGAACATTTCCAAACCACGAAAATTTACATTTTAACAGTATATTTGAGGTACTTTGTCGCGGTATGAAAATACACCAACCATTGATACTCTCCCGATGATGCTTTCTCTGTAATAATATTTCAAAGTCAAATAAACAGTTAAATATTTTATAGTTTTTTTTTTATTTGTTAACGTCACATTTAGTTATTGCAAAAATGAAAACATTTTAACGGCGGGAAACAACATCAAACAATACTAGCATTTTCATATATGAGCTTGGGTTTCTCCGCAGTAAACATCCGGAACACCTCCAACTAGATAACCGTTGGTGTATTGCGGAAGACGGAACGGCTGTTGTGGTTTGACTTAAGTTGTCGATTTCCGTCACGTTACATGTGGTTTTATAGTCGTTTAGAAGGTCACGTGAAGTCAATACTGGTTCCTAGGAAGTGGCATTTAAGTCGATATGTCAACTTATTTCCGATGTCTTAAAGCTATGAGAGAACAATGTCAAACACAAACAACGTTTAAAACTCATGTCACATGACTTGTTTCATCAGATGAACAGATATGATGGCGATTGTCGAGCGGAATACATTCAATTTCGTGCATACAGCGTATAACGTTACTAATTAAACAAAACAGGACCTCAAATGAGCTACAATGTGACATTTGATTAACCTTTTATTATGAAAATAACAGACTCATTTTAAAGTAAGTCAATAACAGGGAATATGGAAAAAACGTGAATCAACAATGTCAGGTTTTCCTGGTTACACGGCGTGAAATAGCTGAAGATTTATTTTTAAAGATAATGAGCGATAAGTGTCAACATTATAATCGATGTAATATTTTCGAAACCTTATTAAACAACACAAACAAAAGATTACAACCGCCCAACTTATTCTCCCATTTACGATCACACAATCACAATTGAAGCAGGCATATCTAGAGCTGTTGTTGGATTAGACGAAGCGATATATGTAAAATACATTAGGCGTTTAGATCCACTGTCAGATGTGTATTTCAAAACAAATTCAGTCCAAAGATATGCATTTTATAGGCGACAACTTAACACTCAAAGAAACAGTGAAAGGAATGTTCATATAGAAAAGATCTTGACAGTCTCGGTTCAGATATATATTCATGTTATATGATATTTTTCTGTTAACTAATTGTGAAAATACTATTGAATTAAAATCAACATTATTGTAGAATTATTTACAATAACTTTCTATTATGCATAATTTATTTAAAAACGCCTTTGTTTTTATCATATTTTCACGTGCTTTTCTTTCAAGTGACCGAAAGGCATAAGACAGCGGTAAACATAATGAATTAAGGGAAGATTGTTGACAAAGACAAATTATTGGACGTATGTCTGTCTGTCTGATATTACAACGTATTCGTATTAATTATAAAATCTGCAATTATCTGTATTCATCGTGATGGCTGTTATTTGGAGAATTATACCTTCAGTTTTATATCCACTGTTTCGTGTGACACTTCATACATTTATTGCATTTTTATCATGTATTTGTTTTATAAATTACTTTATATATTTACGTTATAAGTATTTCCATTCAAATTTTATCATTTTTTATAGTCTCTTTTCATTATTTGGTAACTTAACATTCACTTAAAACAGTAGCACCTATGGCAGACTATATATGTAGCCGATGGGATAAAATAGACAACAATAAGTCTTACACTTTCAACGGATTGTTTCCCGGAAAAAACGAATACAGGATATTTATCTTAATTATACCTCCTTCAAATGTCAATATTTGTCTGCCAGCATGTACTTGATCAAATTGAATTGCAGACATGTATTTATTTGTCTTTGATATTTTGTCTATACAGTTCTCAATGACCACGCTCTGAAAACAATGCTACTTCAGGAACAATGCGCTAGGCTACTTAACAAACCTCTTTTGTCCAGTAATTGAGTTCATAACTCGATTTGTCAAAGATGAACCAAATTTGGTACCCAATTTATCAAGCCGAGGTATATATATGGAGCTACCCTGTATGGTAATTCCATTTGCTTATATTCCCCGTGCGGTTTGGAAAGGTCAGCGTATTGGTATATCGAACATAAACGACAATCGTTGCCTTTGGTCCATGGGTCAAAGTCGCCAGCTTTGGCAAACTGAGCTGAACCTTATACATAAACAACCACTCATGGGGCCAATGTACCAGGTCATACAGGCTATAACTACCGGCCCCACTTGTCGTCATAAGTGCGTGGACAACACATGTGGGTGTATATTAACAATCCTTCTCCGTATCCCACTCCTACTTTAACCGTCTAACTCCCCTTGTGTTTACCTTACTGTCTACTAATAAGGCCATGAAGGATTTCACAGAAATGCCACTTGTGCTGTTTGATTTCTGTTGATGGTGAAAACTATCGATCAATAATTTTCACGATGATATTTCCGTAAAATGCATCCCTCTCCTTGTGTCAGTTTGTGTTTTAATGAACTTCGGTAAAGATATCCGTTCTATTGTCTTGCTTCATATTGTCTTTGACTGTCCTTCAAGTACATGTTTCAGCGTTCTAAACTTATGTCATATTATCATTATCATAGCCTTTAAACGATTTCCGTTATCTTGTCCTATAGCATCCTTTAACATATTCTTACATTCTAGACTTCCTTCACAGGTTCTTGCAATCTTGACCTTCTTCATCATTTGTAGCTGTCATTGACCGAACTTCCGGTAGAGGTTATCAGAATATTTTGATATATTGTTTATACTAATGTGAAGTCTCCCGTCAACCATACTTCAAACCATGATCCTCCGCTAGATGTTACCCGTGGCAGCACTTGTTTGACTGAAGTGTTGCAATACCAAGGACAATACTGTCCATAAATAGGTATTACACTAAACGTTACAACCTTCAGACAAACGTTGCCCATTATCTGTGTCATGGCGGTCGAAATGTACTGTTTTTAAAGCGTACTGTGTTCACGCTCTTTGTACAGGTGTTTTCTAAAGTAATTCCAACATTTGAGTTCGAATAGTTGAGTTTGAACTCATCTGCTGGTGCTACGAGGACTAGGTCCTGAATGAATAAAACGACTTCTTGTAAATAAATTATGGCTTGAATATTTTAAATGACTTTCAAAATTAAATGTGTAAACTCTCTATATATTTCAAAGTCTTTATTACATACCAAAACATATAGGTTTTGTGGTTAGTGTTAATGTTATTATAAAAATATAATCACATATTTCGGTAAACCGAAATATGTGATTATTGTTTTAATGAATTAAGCTAATGAGAGTAGCTACATGTATGACCTGATCCACTAATTTGCACTTACCCTTATTGTACTTTAATAAGAACTTTACAAATTGTGACGGCATCACAAAAAATGCCGACGGCATGTTAAACTGGCCCCATTAGTCACAATTTACTCTATAGGGTTTCATTGTCCAGGAATAAGTATAGGATAATTTTACCAGCAAACAGGAAAACTGAATCCATATTTGAAATTGGTATCAAGATGATTGAATATTTGAATGAAAATCCATTCCCAATTATTGTACCTGTACCTTCATTTGATGTATTTAAACAGCACACGTCCAACATATTAAGTTTTTAAAAAAAAGACATCTTTCCAAAGCCGTATGCTTCTAAAACGTTAAATGGACTTTCTTTTGATTGAAGCAAGTAGTCCTGTTTCCAATGTAATATACATTTTACTGCCCAAAAAGAAAAAAGAAAATTGTGTAAATATATTGCCATGACTAAGCGGTCTGTAGGGTATAAGACAACGCGCTATTTTTCTCTATAACGCACATTTAAAGGGTCTCTGTTGGTAGATTCGTTACCAAATTGGTCCTATTATGAGAAACTATTAAGTTTTGTCCAAAGATATATGTGAGATTCTTTATTTCTTTAATTTTCTTGAATATCAATAAATCATTCCCATAGAGGGACAGATATAATCGTTTTCAGCATTTGGATAGATATTTACGAAATTGTTGGGTTTTTTTCTTCAGGAAAAAGTTCCTTTGAACCAATCAAAGGATATAACGACTTTTTATCCCCAGGCAACGCATGGGTGTTCGTATTCCCTTTCTATATCAAAATGTTACACCATAGCTGAAAATTGTTTGAGAGACATTTTTTACTCTCAGTTGGCATCAGTTCGATACGAAGGGATAACTTGTGAGACATTGTAGTGGGCATTTTAAAGAGCCGGATCGATATCTACAGTTTATGATTGTCTGCTATCAACATCGATTGATGAAGGTTCTAATACCAAAGAGTATTACTTACCATCGTTAAAATTTGGAGGGGTATTTCCTACTTGTTCCTCGATCAACTCCAGCATTCGTGTCCTGAAAATAAAACAATAGAATAAAGCATAATTCTTAACAATAACGTTTCTCTGGATGGCAAATGGAGTTGTACGGATCTCATTTTACTGTGATTCACACGGTTTGCGCTTTGACGAGGAGAAGGTTCGCAAGTTAGATCATAACGTAGCTAGCATTCTTAACTTAGCGTTCTCTACTTTGTTTAAGAGACCAGTTTAGATATATGTTTAAATGGAAATAGTATCTTGTTCTCCGTCCTTTTTATGGTGTTGTATCCGTTCTTCTGTTTTTTACTCTTCCATAACTAAGAGCTATAGAAATGAAACTATGACTTCGACCTCTCTCGTAGCTACGTCTAACTTTCAGACTCTAGAGACGCATTCAAAGGGGATTATAGTGTTCAAATGCTGTATTACAGTACAACTAACAGATGAATGCATTGTAATTTTTATGCAACTCTGGTGGATGAGTTGGTGAGTTATTTCACCATTATGACAGACCTTCCCAATGACATTGACAAAAACTTAAAAATTATATAAAATAAATATTTGAAATTGCTGTCTAGTTAAGAAACATTCATTGTAATTATTATAATCGGGCCTATGATATGGTTATCTGGTAAAAATTGGTTTTCTTGCAGTAGACAATGTTACCTTTGTCTGAGGGGTTTTGCGTCCTCACAACAACTAAAGTAATTAGAAGACCTTTTACAGATGGTATAGCCCTGACAAGGAACAATGTTCTATGACAACCCGCCTGACTAGTCACATTAGTCTGAGAGCGAGCTAACCGACAGTCTCTAGAATAACACCGACGAAATACAAATACAGTAGGAAAAGAAAATGTGCAGGGTTACTACGAACCGAGGATACGGAAGAGAACCCCTCAATTTGTTGAGGTCTCATACTTTGTGGTACTACCATGCAATTGATAACTTTCAAATATAGGACTGCTTTATTTGATTTGTCAAAGTACACCCTCTCTCCACAGGCAACTANCCCCCCCAAACTCTCCCACACACACACACACACTTCACCCCCATTGAGTAACAGTCCTTCCATCAGGGAGTCCAATAAAACCCAAAAACCTATTTCCTTCGTCAGTTTCCACAGCTTAATATCCATGTACATTACCAAGCTTATATTCGACCTTGACTTGACCTATACATTTGGTTCGTTAATCGTTTGAGACATCATTGCAGACGATGTTAACATGATAAAAAAGTGGATATGGATCACAGTAGGTGTTCGGAAATTACGTATTTAAATATTGATTTTCAAATATATGTCTTTGATCGGTTCATATCGATAAATAGTTAACATAGGAAAAACTTCTCTCGACTCCCTGAGAATTTCTATCTTTTTTTCTGCACTGTTTTTCCTTCGGGTTCTTTAAATTGTGTACAACTTAGGTAATTAAATTTGATTGCGATTTAAACAATGATCAATAACACCAGGAAACGGTTTTTTTACCAGAGGCGGGGGACATTTACTGAATTAGTAAGTAACTCTAACAGATTAACACACTGCCAGAAATAACACTGTACTATTGAAGTATTAACAACGTAAAAATTATTTTGTTGATAATATAAAAAGTGAAAACGCATTATTTTCATCATGCAAAATTGCAATTCTATCCGCCTTATTTGACACTTTCTGCTACCCTGATGCATGGCAAAAGTGATTATCAGAAAACATGTTTATGTCAGCATCTTGATGCACCGCAGTTGAGTTATAGTAAGGGTACTACCAGGATTGTATTAAAGGAAATATGATCACATTGAGATAATCTACTTCACTTTATGTATCATATCCGTGGGTGGAGTCTCGAAGGCATTACGTCACTAGCTTTGTAACCGTACATACTTCTAACTAAGATTATTTATTTCTCCTTTTACCGTTTCAAGTTTATCCAAATATACAAACATATTAAATGCAAATCATGGCTTTTCGCTTGTCCAGTCAAGTGTAAGAGAACGTTTGCGTGCAAAGATAATATTGTATTTCAATATTTTTTTGTACCGAAGCTTTAATCTGATGGCGTCAGGCCCTAGCGACCGTTACTATCAACAAGTATGGCTCTTTATCAACACGATGAGTCAGATGATAGCTTCGTTAGTTTTTAAGATTCCCCATCAATTGGATAGATCTGTACGTGGTCTGGGAGCTTAAATCAAGATAATTAAGCCAGATGCCGTGTATAAATTCTTATCTCCACACTTTGGTTTAGGGTTATGTACACAATACCCAAATATATCTCCACCGAAAAAAAATAAGATTTATCTTTCAAAAGTAAACCTTGTGTGCCGATGTGTAGACTACTATCTCTATGTCCCATGCCTTCTGAACGCTGATTATCCACATGTATACGCCCCGCTAGGCAAAATCCGCGTGTTTTGTGGCTATTTGTTGAAAGATACAGCTTCCAACTTACAACTGCTAGTTTAATGAAATGGGATTTGTGTCTTCTGTACGGAACTTTTTTATCCGGTGACGCACACTGAGATTATCTATAAGGATGTTTTCGCCAGGGCGGAGTAGTAACGGGGAACTTATCATAGGAAAATAGGAAATGCACAAGCACACACGTGCATTTCTTGGTAATTTCTTATAGTATATTTGAATGAACTCGCCTCCATGTAATTTAAGCAAAATCTAACTTCAAAATTGCACTTTGATTGGGCCAATCTTCAGAAAGCAAATAACCTAGTGGTATCGAATCTTCCACAACTTAGAGTACGTATCACTACAAGGTTCGTCAATAATGTTTATTTACACACATAATTATATATATACTCTGTCTAAACACTGTACTACAGTGCATAAAATACCGTGTCACAATATCTATAAGTTCATATTTTACTACAATATATGCCACTTACGTTACCACATTATCTGTGTATCATGTTACACAGTGTGTGTCGGCATGCGTTACCACATTATCTGTGTATCATGTTACCACAGTGTGTGTCGGCATGCGTTACCACATTATCTGTGTATCATGTTACCACAGTGTGTGTCGGCATGCGTTACCACATTATCTGTGTATCATGTTTATACAGTGTGTGTCGGCATGCGTTACCACATTATCTGTGTATCATGTTACACAGTGTGTGTCGCCATGCGTTACCACGCACATTGTTTTCAACTCATGTAACCAACAGTTTGACAGTTCATTTAAGCAAAACAAATGACGGTTATTGCGCCAATGCGTTTGTCAGTCTGTTTTTGGCTTGTTTGAAAATATTGTAACCTTGAATATCTCTTTTATTTTTAGAAATGTTGGTAGACACAATTTAAAACCAAACGCATGTCACTGCAGTACCTGCTCTTTGGCATCCACGGTATTTCTGAACGATTAGACCCAATCCATCACAATCTGACTCTTCACTCAAGTCATTTATTGGTCAATTTACTCGGAATTCTAAACATGCATTATAAATCTGTGTGGCTGCTTCCCAAACTCAATTTGAAACCTGGCATTGGAAACCAAAACATTACAAGTATACGAGGATGTTAAATACTATACGAACGCCTTATACTGTATGTCGGATGCTGATCGATCTCAGTTCAAAAGTCTTACCTAGCATGTGAGTTACTAGATGTATCCCGGCTTCTAATGGACCATTTTGCATTAGATGAGACGAGTAACAAAACTTTTGTAAATAGGTATGGAGCTAACTAATTTCGAGGCAGTGGATAATATAAACAAATGAACACATACAAGCAAAACCGCGGATTTAAAAGCATGTCTGCTGCTTCACACTCATTCACCGACTTGTTGCCAAGGAGCTCCGAATTATTGGTAGACAGAAGGTGGTAGCTATGGTCAATTATGTATACATCCATATATATATATATATTATACCCCAAACACCGGGGCATGCTGGTACCACAGTTCAGATCAAAGTGTGCTACTAAGTAAAGGCTGGAAGGTCGATTAACCAATTACCTTACGAGAGCAGTGAGGGCACCGTTTTAATTTGAAGTAACATCACAAATCCATTCTATTGATAAATTTACACTTATTTATAATTAATAAGATATATCTAATACATACATGACCCATTCATTATCGATATGACCTATTTGTTATCGATATGACCTATTTGTTATCGATATGACCTATTTGTTATCGATATGACCTATTTGTTATCGATATGACCTATTTGTTATCGATATGACCTATTTGTTATCGATATGACCTATTTGTTATCGATATGACCTATTTGTTATCGATATGACCTATTTATTATCGATATGACCTATTTGTTATCGATATGACCTATTTGTTATCGATATGACCTATTTGTTATTGATATGACCTATTTGTTATCGATATGACCTATTTGTTATCGATATGACCTATTTGTTATCGATATGACCTATTTGTTATCGATATGATCTATTTGTTATCGATATGACCTATTTGTTATCGATATGACCTATTTGTTATCGATATGACCTATTTGTTATTGATATGATCTATCTATTGTTGATATGACCTATTCATTGTTGGATATGACCTATTCATTGTTAATATGACCTATTCATTGTTGATATGACCTATTCGTTGATAGGACCTTTTTAGTATTGATATGACCTATTTAGTGTTGATATGACCAATTCATTGTTGATATAACCTATTTATTATTTTATAAGTCTTTCATTATCGAAATGACCTATTTGTTATTGACATGACAAACTCATTGTTGATATGACCTATGTATTATTGATATAACGAATTCATTATTATGATATCATCTGTTCTGGTAAAATACATGATATCAATGATAGGTGATACTGATAGTGTTCTGTATCGACAATTCGTTATTATGATATCACTAAATGAAGACCTGATATCGCTTCAATGATTGGTGAAATCATTAAATGATTAATAGCATTACCTATTCGCTATAGGGATGGTAGATATCAACATTATAAATTGATATTACTTTTATAATCATGATGATAATGAGTATTCTAATCAATGATATCACAAATTGATTATGGTTATATCAA